TGTGTGTGTGTGTGTGTGTGTGTGTGTGTGTGTGTGTGTGTGTGTGTGTGTTGTTTTAGGGAAGGTTTAGCTCGTTGAATCATCATACAACGGAAAAAAGAAAATGCATTTGAAACAGTACACTAAAACAAAACAAGCGTTTCTAAGACTAATAATAGCAAGAGAGAGAGAGAGAGAGAGAGACAGAGACAGACAGACAGACAGACAGACAGACAGACAGACAGACAGACAGACAGACAGACAGAGACAAAGGCAGGTGCAAACAGGCAAACAGGCAAACAGACAAACAGATAGACAGACAGACAGACAGACAGACAGACAGACAGACAGACAGACAGACAGTTTAAGCCCCAAGGCTATAAAGCGTGAAGCAACCACGCGGAACGATGTGACCGTCCAGTTGGCTGTAACCCTAGACACTACTTCTACTTTAAAACTGTGATCCCATTGCTTCAGTTCAGAGAAGCCACAGAATTCTACTCTAATAGCCTAGAAGCGGAACTCCCCTCTTCGCGATCGCTGATTCGCTGCGAGGAATTGAAACTTGACCATGGCGGCATGTTGAGGGCAGTTTTGACTGCGCCGCACAGCGAGAGTTCGCGTTGCTATGCACGCTGATGCTAGTGGTAGGGCTTGGAAGACACCTTACGTCAGTATTTTAAAACTGTCTTTGAAGAAGAAATATTGTGAAATGCTACATAATTTGTATTGCCAACAGTATGTCATAATTGGCAAGGTTGCAATGTTTTTGTGTCGTTGGTTTGTTTTTTAATGATGGGATGGGGATAGATCTAGAATCTAGATCTAGATCAACTAGATCTTCACACTCACAATACACTTGATAATAACAATTATAAGCTAATTATGAACATTAATTCTGTTGGCAAAATATCTCGATATAGTCTTGATTAGTACTACAATAAAGGGAACGCTGACACTAACATGCTCACTACAATTACTTGTCATTAAACATAAGGCCATCCACAGCAAGGAAAAAGATCAATATAAACCTTTTCTCCAATTTATTAGAAAGAGATCAATAAATTGAGCTTATAATATATTGAGGAAAGGTATTATTTCTCACTTTAAGAATTCATCTCTGTGTTTACATCAGTGAAATATACTGTGTACTTAACATGCTTTGTTTAAAGTACCTGCAAATCTAACAAAAACAAGAGATTGGAGAATGTGTCGGTTGCACATAAAATACATAGGCCTATTATACATGCTGCCAAAAACACAAAAATGCTGAAGAGGCCTCAAATATTGTTTTACACATAAAAACCAATAACGCAAAACAATGTAAACAAGAGTGGAACTGGCATGTTTCCTGAATGTTCAAAGTAATATTTTTGTGTGTTGAGAGTATGGCTTCTAATGCATGAATGATAGGCTCATTCAGATGTGATAATGAAGAAACTTGTCTACAGTCACAACAGAAAGAGTTCCATGGCAAGTGATCCCTAGCCAAGGATTTCAGAGCTGTGTGCATTTTGAGAAGAATGTATCCCCATACCCTGAGATCACATGTCGAGGGGATGGAGCTTGCCCCCCCTGCAATCCCCGCACACAGTAAACAAACACACATTCATGAACACGTATAAGAAAAAATAAGGGGTCTCATGTTACGAATCAAATCGAAGTCCTGTAACAATTCAATTTAATTTATAAAAGCGTGCATCGCAAGGCATTGGCTAACCCTGCCCTATAGGCCTACGTTAATAAATACATTCGTCAGATCTGGAATCTTTAATCTTTAATGCCCGCACACAGTAAACAAACACACAGTTTTGAACACGTATAAGAAAAAATAAGTGGTCTCTTGTTACGGATCAAATCGAAGTCCTGTTACAATTCAATTAATTCGTAAAAGCGCGTATCGCAAGGCATTGGCAGACCCAGCAGTATTACGCTATTTCATATACATACATTCGTCAGATCTGGAATTTTTTATCTTTAATTTTTCGTCCCCGCTACAGTAAACAAACACACATTCATGAACACGTAAAAGTGGTCTCTTGTCACTGATCAAATTGAAGTCCTGTTACAATTCAATAATTGATAATAGCGCGCATTGCAATGCATTGGGCGCTAACTCAACACTATACACTATTATTCGTCAGATCTGGAATCTTAATTATAATCATACCCCCCGGGGCAGTGCCACTGCCTGAAGTGTCATTAGGCCATTCCCAAAGGGGGGGACATTTCTCGTTCAAGCATAATAGAATTGTACATGGGCTGACTCATGTCACGCTCATAACTGTGCCTGATCTACAACAGGGAACTGCTGCTTTTTCTTTCCTGATCCTTACTATTGTCATTTTCCTCTTCTTCTTTTGTATGTTTGTCACTCTTGTGACCTGCTATTTTGGGGGGCCTTGATAGTCGAAGCAGACCTTGTGTTGTTGAAGCTAGAGAGGTGAGCAGAGTAAGTCTGATTCCCTGTAAAGACTTCGCTGTTGACACCCACCCCTTGGCGCTCATATGACCTTATGCAGTTGCGAGCGCCGTAAAACCCTCTACTATAAAAATACATTTTAAAATTGTAATCATGATATGTGCCCGCGCATGGGAAGTGAAAGTGAAAGGAATTGAAAATGCTTTCAAAAACACTTATGAAAGTAACAAAATTAAAGTATGTGCTTATAAAGGCCCAAGAAGGTGTAAAGATGCGGAACTAAATGTTTCGGATGAAAATAATTATGCTATCTCTATAACTATAATACTAAGCGTGCCGTCAAAAATTTGTGGCGCAACATATCAAATATCTAGGGTACTGAACGATCGAACATGGATAGATTAAATTCTCCTACTTTTGCACAATGACTTAGATCTATATCAATTCGTCTTAACAGATGAATATTTTTTCTAACATTTGTACACATATATTATTATAGAAATTTCTGTAAAGAAAATTCTTTAATAAATACTAGCCTAATATTTTTTTTTAAATCTCAGTCAATGGTTTCTACAGAAGTTTTTAAAAAGTTTACAGCTGGAGCTAAATCTCTTTTAAAAGCAAGTCCGTCCTTTTTTTCTACTTCTGCTGGCGACATAAAGCTAATCATTGAACGCATGTTTTGAGAACATTAATTAGATCTAGTGAAAAAAATAGGTTCAGTGTAAAACCAATTTCTTGTATCAAGTTTTGCTACTAAAGAATAACGTAGGCCATATGCGTATGCAAAATGTGTGTGGAAAGCTGGAAGTGTTGTGAACAATCCCATCAGCGTCACGAATTTTTTCACAGTTCTGTAGACCTTATTATACTATTCTATTTCTGCTTTTTCTGTTGTTGCACCCAAAAACACAACAATTTAAACCATAATTCCAATCTCCAGGTTGCACAGTGAATTTTGAAACTCAAAATTACAAACTAAACAGTAAATGTTCCACTTTTCACTCGTTTGTAAAAGCCGCTGTTGCTTTAAAAGCTATATAGGGTTACTTCCGAAAGCGATAAATCTTGCCCTCGAGACGCCATTGTTTTCGGTCTTCAATTCTTCACAGGTCACGTGGTACAGTGCCCGTTCTATGAGTGTAGAATTCTGTGAGAGAAGCAGACAGGTCCATCGTTGCGGGGGGTGGAATCGGACAAAGTGTGGGATTGCTGGATTTGGAAGATGTATGACGTGGGTTTCACTCATATGACCGTTACGGTAGCCTTGACGACAATCCCGGGTCACCTTGAAACGTCCGGCTAACGGGGCTCTGGTGAAACCACGACAAGCCTAGCGTGCCGGTGATGGATTATTTATTGTTAAAGAAAATCATTGGAGAAAGAAACAGACGGACCCAAACGGAAAACGACCCTGAAACGGAAGAGGACGACGAGAAAGAACGAGCACTTGGAAAGTTTCTGGGACGACTTTATGAAGAGATGGAGAATACCGATGATGGTAATTCAGACAGCAGACGGAAGGGAACTGGAATCAAACAGATCCTTGAGGACTACGTCCTGATTTGGAGTTGCGGGGATGGGACAACTAGGGCAACACATGGTGTAGATTTTATTCTACACCCGGATACTGCTAAGAATGTGTTGGAAACAGAGTTTATCTCGGAGAGGATTATCAAAATCCGAGTAAGAGGAGAACAAAAGATCTCAAACTTCACCCAAGCTTATGCACCTTGCAATGACTCCTGCAGCGAAGAACAAAAAGAGGATTTCTTTGAGAAGATGGCAGACACCATGGGCACCGTCACAGACAGGGAAGAACTTATTGTCATGGGAAATTTCAATGGAAGAGTGGGTAAGAGAAGAACACATAGAGACTAGTTCCTAGGCCCACACAGCGACACAAACACAGAGTGCAACTACAACGGGGAACAGCTACTAGCACTGTGTGCAAAATACGCACCGTGGATCACAAACACCTTTTACCAACACAGACCCAGTCAGAAACAAACTTGGTACAGATGGAACGATCTGAATGTATCATCACAGATAGATTTCGTCTTGACACGAATAGAAGAAGAACCACGGACGCGAGAGCCATCCCAAATGCAGCCCTGAACACTGACCACCGTCCAGTTATCTTATTTATAAAGTAGCGGAATGAAAGAACGAAGGAAAGAAAGAGGAAAGAAACAGACGGACAGGTCAACTTAAGAAAACTCCAGAAGGAAGAAGTATGACAGGAAGTGAAGACAGCAGTCACACAGAAGCTGAAGGAAGTAGACAGCTCAGAAATGACAGCAGAAGAAACCTGATCACTGTTCAAGACCACGCTGACAGAGACTTACAAAAGAAGCAAACCCCAACACGACAGACCTTAAAGAGATGCTATTTGCGGACGATCGAAACCTGGCATACGAGAGAGAAGATCAACCTCAAGAGCACACAGACAGGCTGAATACACAATGTGAAAAGCTCAACATGAAGATCAGTAAAAGCAAAACGGAGACGATGAAAATCAGAAGAACACCTGGACACCTTAACATCACCATCGACGGAAATCCACTGAAACAAGCCAGCGAGTTCAAGTATCTTGGTAGCCTCTTTTCCGAAGACAGACTTCTCAACAGAGAAATTGAGACGAGAGTACAAAAGGCAAACAGCGTCAGCCACCAGCTTGCCCTACTCCTCAAACATCCTCCCCATTGAGACCAAAACCAAGCTCATTAACTCTATCTTTATCCCCACCTTGACCAACCAGTGCCAGACATGAACTCGGACTAAAAGTCTGGAACGTAAAATAATCACCTGCGAGATGAGATGGCTAAGAAGAGCCGTCAACAAAACAAGACGGGAAATGATCAGAAACAACAAGATTAGAGAAATGGTGGGAACAACACCTGTCCTCCACTACATTCAAAGGAACACAATCAGGCGGTTTTGGACATCTCACACGTATGGCACCTAACCAGCTTGCCAGTACAGCCTACTACAGGAAAGTACCAGGGTACAAGGCAAGAGGAAGACCAAGAGAGACCTGGATCCAGGCCATCAAACTTGCTAGAGACAGGAAGCTCTTTCTCCCCTCGACGCCCTAGAGGTACACGAGGACGGATACAGTAACTTCCGCGGACACTCTTTTGGTCGAGTGAACTGTCTTGTTATAAACGATCTTTTAATAATAGAAAGTTATCGATGTAACCCATGTTTATAGGATTCCAGGCTGCTGCAGCACTGCAACAGGGAACTGCGGAAAGGAGCCCTGGAAGCCGTTGAGGTTAAAGGTTTCTCTAGTTTAACTTCCAGGTCGTCGGGTACAATTGCCGCGGGTTGTAGTGTTCCCTGAAACCACCAGAAAACGATCCGACCCGTCGACGCGACCCGACCGACCCGCTCGCGCTAATTGGCACCCCCTATTAGGCTACCGGACTCGTAATTGTGAGGTTGTGGGTTCAGGGGTTCAAACCGCAGTCCCTTGGTTGTATCCTTGAAAAGAGTACTTAACACGAATTTTTCTCACTTCAACCCGGAGAGAATGGGTACCCAGCCATAGACAGCGAAATACAGGGTGATCTAAAGAAACCTTTACAACTTTTTTTCTGAATATTTTGCACAAACATTGTACTAGAATGCTGTAATTTGGAATTGACATAATTCATTGAAAAGGAATTGGTTTGATATAAAATCCACAAAAAAGAAACTTGTTTTGAAAACTGAAACGGCTAAAACAAAAATCACCCGAAAACGCAAAGTTTACCAATATTTAAAAAAATCTTGTGAAAGAAGTCGTGAAAAGATTAGTTGACCTTTTTCTTTATTTTATCTTTGACATTAATTTTCCATTCCTGTAATGTTTAAACAATAAAAAGTATTTAATTACTTTTACAGAGTTTTAAAAAAACTAATGATTTCATTCTGAAATTCCTGGAAGCAGTGCTCCACATTCCCTTCTTTGGACTCAACACATTTTTAACGTGTCGTTCGAAATGTTCAGTGGTGCCCTAACACAAGGACCTGCTGAACCATGAGTTTTTAAAGTCGCATACACTGTACATGTTCACTAAGAGACAATAGAGTGGGGTACTCAATAGACAGCATTTTTGGAGTTAACATATATCCCACAGGGTGAAAATGGGCTTTGCACTAAACCAAATGTCATCGAGGAAATGATCCCTCTTTACAAGACAATCGAGGAATCATGAACACATTGCTATGCTCTGATCCATGTCATCTCGGCCTAGCGAAGATGAACATGGTACTGTCGTAGATTAAGATCTGCCTTGAGAATGCTATTGATATGAAGGAAATCCTAGCTGCAGATCATCCACGGACAGACTTCTCATGGGACTCGACTACTGAAATATGCACCTTGGTGACGTTTAAAGGGCTGTGCATGGTGTGTGTTCGACCTGAAGTTGTCATTTTTAAGAACTTTCTAGTTCTGATTCGCTATAGATCCAAACTGACAGAACTTTTCTTCTCGTGACGCCAAAGGTCTTGAGGTCACCTAAGCATTCTCTCCTTGCCGTGCACAGAACTTATAAAATGTCAGGGATGGTGTGTCTGTGAAGGGGTAATGTTCAATGGGAGTGCTTATTTAGGCCACATATGACCTAAATAAGGTAAGGGAGGGGGGTTTAGCTTATTTAGGCCACACATGCTCAAACTACCCCTTTCAGGCAACTGAGTTTGTTCCACTTTCATAATTGTGCACCTTTCTCATTTATTACAGTTTTGTCTCAGTGTACAACTTATATATCATAATCATAATGAATATTGTAAGAACAAAGCACAATACGCAAAATTTTGCTCAATCTCAAAGGTTTGAATGAGGGCCTGATTTTTCCTTCATGGAGGGGCAAAAGCTAGGCTACCATTTTGGCACACTTTGGTCAAGTGAAAAGGTCAAATCCTCCGAATGGACTTCTGGGTCAAATTTGGGGTATAAAAAGTGTGTACACAACGTGGCTGAGTCAAACTTACACCGTCTTTGTCTGAGTGGCACTCTCTCGTACTGTCTCGTAGTAGTACATGTAGTTGTAGCAGTAGCAAAGATCGTGTAGAGAATCTTTGGCAGTAAATTCTATCTAGTAGGCAGTTTAGTGAATGTGCACGCGACAGGGCGAATCGGCCTCGATAAGCCCCGTAGACTTTTGTGATCGGCCACGAAGCCTCGTGTTTTGATGGGTCTAAACAACTCAGTGTTAATCGCACTGCCACATCCCACAGGCCTACATCTTTTTAAAAGGGAAAGAAAGATAATCAAAATGGTTGAATTCGCGTGAAAATCGATTCGGTAGAACTGGAACTATCATGGGTCTCAATAGTCCGCTATTTAGCGGATTTCCGCTACCGCCATTTCCTCCACTAAACTCCGCTACCGCGACAGCGGGCCAATCAGAAAGAGAGTTGTTCGGAGCAGGGTGACTGCCAGGCTCCGGAAATTTTTTTTTAAATGGCCGAGACCCAGGAAAATACATAAAAGATCTTGAATATTTGAAAACGAAATCCAATAACGTGTTTAAGTTCATTTCTGCCGGTCGCGATTGTGATATTAATTCGGCTCTGAGAGTACGTTTCACGCGAACTGGCGGCTTTGGCGGCAAGCGGAATTGTGTCACCACGGCTTGACTGGAAAATCAAGGTCTACTTTCGCTTTCGTTACCACCCAGAAATGTGTCAGTAATAGTCTGATAACGCAACATGTATTGTAACATGCAGGTTCGACATTACAAACGTGGTGTCGCCATGAAAATAAATCAATATTTGTCACTGTGCTGTCACTTGTGGGGGCAACAACAACAAAAAGGAAAGAAAGTTATACAAGCGTCTAAGCTTATTTAGGCCACGCTCTCTGCTCTTTACTAAACGTAACCGTGATCTCAGCAGGCAAACGAAATTCGGGAAAAACAATATCTGCAGACTTCTGTTGACTTGTTAGACTGCTGTAGCTTGCAATATGGCGCCACTGTTGCAACTTTTAATCGTAGGTCTAGTGGTCTAGATCTAATGCAAACTGGTGCGTCATGCTACGAAAATGGCGACAAGGTTTAAAATGGATTGTTTTCAGTGTGCAATATAGAACAAAACCATTCAATGGACTTATCTAAAATATACTGACGAGCAAAAGAAAGTGGGCACCCTCCGTTCTGTGCATTATTTCCGTTCTTTACCGTTATAATGCCGTATTGCCAATGGATTTTGAAAGGCTTGCCATTTTCTCAATAAGTGCAGACAAAAGGACTAAGAAAACGATCAAAAGCACACCTTTTATTAGAAATTAATGACACCTATTCGAATGTTCAAAATCCCAGAATTAGTAACAGGTGTATCTCCCACCACCATTGATGACTACAGTGCATCTCCGCTTCATGGATTGCATATGTCGTTGGATAAATTGCTGGGGAATATTATTCCAAGCATGAATTAGTGATTGCTGCAGTTGTGGGATTGTCATTGGGGGTGGCCAAAGTGTGCGAATTTCCTTTTCTATCTTGTTCCAGAGGTGCTTTATTGATTCCCATACAATAATGCTACGTTTGTCAGCAACAACACTAACACACTGAGGTAAATAACGTTCATGACGTCTCCGGCAGACTTCCTGCCTTCCATCGTGGTGATCCAAAAGCAATCTGGACTCGTCAGAAAACATCACTCTGTTCCACTGGCGGTTTAGCCATCGCCGATGCAGACGAGTCCAGTTGAGTCTGGCATGACGGTGTCTTTGGAGGAGACGAGTGCGTCGAGGTAGGTGTCGGGCAACGATTCACTGGGCTTTCAAACGTCGACAAACGGTGAAGCAGCTGATTGGTTTATGCCCAGCACAATCTCTGACAGTTTTAGAAGCTGTTTGAAACCAATCCTGCAAGTCTGGAACTCTGATCCGATTGTGTTCAACCACAGTAGAGACACAAGGACGACCAGACCTTGGAGTGTCACTAACCGAACCACTTGCTTGGAAGTGTATCCTTAGCTTCTGGATAGTATCTCTCTTCACATTGAACGCTCTAGCTGCAGCAGAAACCGTCGCATGAGCTCTCTGCGTGCCAAGAGCTTCATGACGTTGTGCTTCACAAAGACGAGGCATCGTATAAAACACAATTGTAAAGTACAAACCCAAAAGTTTTGACGGCCTTTTCGCCGACACACGTTGAAGTGTGTAACGAAAAAAGAATAAAAGTAAAGGCATTGTAAACTTTCAAGAAAAAATGAGAAAACACGTTTTTGGCCAAACGTGTTGTAAACACTTTTTACAACAACAAAATAAACAAATGTTATTCTGACCGACTTTCTAAAGTGACACAAGCTCAGCATGTCCATCGCCAAGTCAAAATTCGCGAGACTTCTCATACAGCACGATTTGAAAACTGCCCACTTTCTTTTGCTCGCCAGAATACATATCAGACAAATTCCTTTTGGCTTCCAAACGTTTTATTATTCAAATCTGAAACTCAAAACTTCAGTACGGAGGAAGATATTTACAAAACAAGTTGTTAAGTTTTTTTTGGGTTTTTTTATATCCCTGTATCTTGTCAGTATGTTAGTGTTTTAGCGCTATAAATGGCAGCTTGCACTGTATGCTTCGCATGAAGTTGAGATTGTTTCAGAATGCTCTCAGGACTGCTGGAGTCATAGTATAGACTGTACCGCGCATCGATCTAGAGCATACGGTTGAGAGGCAATTTACACTCTATAGAAATTGTAAGGCTTTTTTTAAAATTGACTCACTTTTTTACCTGTAGTATCGCGTGTCATTTAGTAGACAGATTAAAGCAAGGTATAGGTATAAAAAGTCGTAGTTCTGAAACCCTGCACAAAATGTCCGTCCTCTTGGGAAGCATCAGATCTTCCCACTTAATGTTTTACTCGCCACATTAAACATTATTTTTTAAAGTGCATTTGCGTTTTTTTAGAAAACTGTCAAAACTTTACAAATGGCAACCTGTCCAAGAGAATCACCAGTGCAAACGATTACAAAGTACTAAGTACTAAGTGCCCCCCCCCCCCCTTTCCACACACACACACACACACACACACACACACACACACACACACACACACACACATGCACACACAAACACACATACACACACACACACACTTACACACACACTTACAAATACACTTACACAAACGCACTCTCCTGTACACAGTCAAATATATTTCAAAATACTTTAACAAAGTATTGCTCTAAATAGTGTCATAAAAAAGCATGGGCCTCAACCAGAATTACTGATTTCAGCCCAGGTCAATTTTGATATTTTGCACGTCAGATACGTCTTCTTTGTAAGTGTAGTGCAGGGGCAGTGGTGCTTGACTGCATGCGGTTGCAGGGTTTGGGCATGTCATGTCTTGCCAGTCGTCACCAAAAACGAGGTTGTACTGAATGTCTCCATGTAAGGAATAGCAGAGCGCTCGTATGTCAACCACTTTTTGGGAGCCCAACTTTTCTTCCTGGTCGAATGTTCGAGTATTCTTGTAATGACGAGTATTTTCTGAAGAAAGCACACACCATTGTTTGTTATTTTTTGTGGTTGTTTATTTTCTGTTTTAATTTTGATTTCATTCTGTTGTGAAACTTTTATTTGTCACAATTTTTACAACCTGCGTGGCTACAAATGATATTCTTGATGCTTAGATCAGACTACAGGAAATTCTGATGCTTTAGATTAGGTTACCTTTATCAACATATTATATATTGCTATATACGTCGTCACAGAGAGTTGAAAGCTTAAACTTTAATGGCAACATTTATGGCAACTTTTAACATTTTTTGTGGCAACTTTTGGACGCAAAAATAGCAACAAACGCAGATGCTTGATTATTTCTCCTCCTTCTTTTCTTTGTACATTTTAATTACTCTCATGTATATCTCTAATCTTCGTAGCACTTAAATGATCTAATTGTGTTGCAAGTGCCATACAACTCTCATTAAAACTTAGCCACTCTTCGAATCCTCTTGATTCAGTGGACGGCAAACTTAGCCACCTTTTTATCCTTTTGAATATTTTTTTGTTTTTGTTATATCTTCAGACAGAGTAAGTAGTTGATAACATGGCAGCATTAAAAATAACGTATTACCCCATCAGACTTAAGAACACTCAAAAACGTTCTCGGCTTCCTGGGGAGCAAACAGTGCAAGGAGCTGATTAAGCATTCAAACACTAACAAACGGACAATGCCACCGACGCCATGTTGCCTAGATTTGAGCTTACTCTTTGACTGAAAAAAACCCAGAAAACAAACAAACAACACAGACATTAACACACAATTAATTGAACAAATGAACCAAAAATAAAGGAGAGGGAATTCCTTCATAGGAATTTGATCAGAAATTTTCGAAGCTTTGCATGCAATTAAGAGTACCTCAGTTTCTATGTTAGATTAAGAGAAAAATCATTTATGTTCAAATTCTACACACAAAACAAAAGTTCGTGACAGGAAATTAGAGAGAAATTATAATAATAGAAGAAGAAGAAGAAGAAGAAGAAGAAGAAGAAGAAGAAGAAGAAGAAGAAGAACAACAACAACAACAACAACAATAGCAGCAGCAGCAACAGTAGCAACAGTAGCAGCAACCACAACAACAACAACAACAACAACAACAACAATAAAGCAAGCCCCCGGTGGAAAAACATTCCCAGGTCATTAAAAAAAATGTGGCTCATCCACCCTGCTCCGCATAATATACCCAAGTCATCTATCTCTACAAACGAGACAAAGTTAAGGTGTTCAACAACGACACCTTGGTGAGCTAGTCTAGGAAAGTCAGTGCCAAAGTTGGCTGAGGAACAACAGAAGCATACACAGCGGTCAACATACCAAGCAGATGACAGATCCAAAAAGCATTATAATACTTCATACAAACCGTTAGGACTACTCAAACCCATAAGTAATTCATTTAATTATGAAAATTATAAAAAAAATAACCATCTTGCCTCCCGCCAAATGTGTCTGACTGGACGTGTCGTTGAGCTGTGACCAGAGGTGAGGGACAAGGGGAGTGAGGGAGAGAGGGAGAGAGAGGGAGAGAGGGAGAGAGGGAGAGAGAGGGAGAGAGGAAGTGAGACAGTGAAGGAGTGCAAAAGAGAGCATGTGAGAGAGAGAAGGAGAGAGGGAGTGAGGGAGAGAGGAATTGAAGGAGTGGGAAAGCGAGGGAGAGAGAGGTAGAGAGGAAGTGAGAGAGTGAGAGACAAAGTGAAGGAGTGGGAAAGAGAGGGAGAGAGAGGAAGAGAGAGAGAGTGAAGGAGAGAGGGAGTGAGAGAGAGGGGGAGTGAGGGAGCGAGGGATTGAGAAAGAGGGAGTGAGAGAGAGGGGGTGAGGGAGTGGGAGGGGGCAAAAGAAAAGGTAGAGACTGTCCTGACTTCTCAAAAACTTCGTTCACCTATTGGAGAACTAGAACAATGTGACGGGTGGGAGAGAGAGAGAGAAAAAGAGAGAGAGAGAAGGAGAGAGAGAGAGTGAGAGAGAGAGGGAGAGAGTGAGAGAGAGAGAAAGAGAGAAAGATAGAGAGAGAGTGGTAGAGGGAGGGGTAGAGAGACAAGACAAAAAAAGAAACGACAGAGACAGAGAAGAGAGAGCTAGAGAGAGCGAGAGAAAGTGAGATAGCAGGGGAATGCATTCAAGCGTAAACACGAATGTGAGACGGATAGACAGACAGACAGACAGACAGACAGACAGACAGACAGACAGACAGACAGACAGACAGACAGACAGACAGACAGACAGACAGACAGACAGAGAAGGAGGTCAGGCTATAATATCTAAACGACCCCTTCTTTCCATCACAGTACGTGGCTATCTCTCTCGTCTTACTGCTTGTTTCCCTTAGCCTGACTTTCTGTCGGTGTAGAGAGCCAAAATTACGGGCACCTCAAGATGTTGACTACCCCCGCAGAGATTCCCTTAGCCTGACTTTCTGTCGGTGTAGAGAGCCAAAATTACGGGCACCTCAAGATGTTGACTACCCCCGCAGAGAAATACAGAGGTCTTTACCAGGAACTTCCGACACACACACATATATATATATATATATGTCTTGCATTGATGTGGTGATTAATTTGTGCAATCAGTTTCGTGATGTTCTAAAATGACTTGGCTAACTGAATTAATTTGCAGTTTCATAGTTTCTTCAGCTCAAAAACTAATCTGCCTCCTCACAATCATCTGAAAGAAAACTCTCCTGAAGTTGGTGCTCATCGTGAAGTAGATGAATATATTGGCGGATGCGTTGATGGCCGTCATGGTGGTCCAGACACCCGTCATGAACAGAAAGATGTGGCTCTTCCTCCCCTCCATGCGGACGTCTTGGTCCAAACTCATCCAGGTGAAGAGCACAAGGCCAGGAAGATAACAAACGATGAAGACAGCCGAGACGAGAACCATCATCACACTCACACGTCTGTCCTTACTTGACATGACATTATTTCCCGGTTCGTTTTTAGCAATCCCAGCGCTTGACTGGCGCCATTTTGAGACTTTGTTGAGAGTGGCGACTAACACGACGGTGCACACAGACGTCACGACGAACGCTGTAGAGGGAAGGAAGTTGTTCAGGAAAAACATGGCGGAGAAGACGCGTTCTTTGCGGCGTGTGAACTCCAGACCCAGTGTGGTGCTGTTGTCCACAGGTGAATGCTTCCACACCAGCAGGATCACGGTGTATTTAGGCACGTCGCAGACTATGATGAGGACGTAGATGAGAATCAACGCGCACGATGTCCGTCTCGTAGTAAAAATAAACTTGATCTTCATTGGTATCAGAACGCATAAACATCGTTCCAGGGCAATGAAAGCAGTCACCCAACTCGTTATGCGGGAGAATAGAGTTTGAGTCCAAATTCCAAACGGAAGGGAGAGCTCTTGAGCTCGAAACGGTAACCTCAGATTATTGAAGGCTGGAATGTTGCATAGGTTATACCAGAAACCCGATATTAGAGAGGCCAAATCCGATAGCGCTAGACCTAAAAGACTAACATTCACGGAGTCGGAACGTTGCCTGAGAAAGACGAGGATGTTGATGATGTTCGAACATATCCCGAAGACATTCACGACTTGGCCAACTATCATGTAATTCAAAACCGTAAAGACGTCCATAAATGTTGTGTCTGTCTCTTCGAACGTTGGAAAAAACGTTGCATTTTCGTAATACGCTCTGTCCTCGCTAAGAAAAGTCATTGTTCAATTCATTGTTCAATTCCCGCAGAAGTAAAAAAAAAAAAAAAACACTTGAAAGTGTAAAACAAAATGATTCATCCAAACTCTGGAATTAAAAACATTCGGCAATGGTCCGTTTGTCGTTCCCGAAATTCCTAACTTGAAAATACATGTATGTGTGGTTGGCGGGCTCTTTGTTGGGGTTTGCTCCTTCCTTCTAACTAACAAATCACATGGTCCTTATCTCTCCACTTTGTTTCCTACTAGATCTAAACAAATCACATGGTCCTTATCTCACAATCTCTCTCGAGTAACACCTCTAACCCTCTGCGCTTATGACATGTGACCTATCTTTGTTGCAAGTGTTATAAAACTCTCAATAAAACAAAAACTTAAACTTGAAAAATGACTCGTGTCGGGGCAGTATATAAGAATGATGTATTCCTCAAGATTAAGGAAAAATATGAGCACTCATGTCGTTTGGAGAGGAATAAGGACAAGATACAATTCTGAAAGATAAAGCAAATGGGGGGAAGGAGACATATTATATCTCTTTAACTTAAACCCCCCCCCAAAAAACAACCAAGCAAACAAAAATCCGATTACTCTTCATAAAGTTCTTACGCTGTATTTATGCAACTAATGAAGATAATTAATGACATAATGGCAACCCTCTAACTTCTGAAAACTGTTTACCTTTTTCTTGAAACATAATGTTTCAACTATGTCCAATTTTTATTCCGAACGAAAATGAGAATAATCTAGTTATTCCCTCGTTGCCAGAAGTAATATCGATTTGGAAGCTCACGATTATTTGCGGAGATTATTAATGGTAAAAAGTGTACTGTTAACTATCAGCCTCTTGGGGAACAGACAAAGCTGATATTTGGGAAAAGCCAACCAAAATAATTATACAGCACTGTGATAGAAACTGATAACCCGCATTTCCAAAATAATCGAGGCTGTCACACGGAATTTAATTATCCGAATGAAACTCTTTTTTTCGTGTCATCCTTGTAATTATTGTCAAGGGAAATTATAGTGGATTGGGTATTCTTCCACAAAAACTAAAGGCCACAGAACTAAAAGACACCTTTAATGTTTATCTCAACTAATGTTGTTATGACATGGAATACCTGCTGCTTCACTCAACAGTTAGAGGGACAGGTTCTTTGTGCTCATGAGACAACGTTAATGATGAGGTCGATGAAGATCAAACAATGGTGGTCTCATGACTTGAGTGTCAAGAGAGGGAACTTAAAACTACTTATGGTGCTTGTGTGGGGGAAAAGTTAAACGGAATGTCTTTTACGCCCCCATTGACACTCTTTATAAAACTGTGGTTTTGGAGGCAGGATGCTTCGACCATGCCTGCCACTCAGGGCCAAGATACAACATCTCAACAAAGAGATTGAGATACATGTAGGCTACTTGATCAAAATTTTTCTCGACACGGGAATCGAACTCATGTCTTACGCAAGAGACAGCGAAGTGCTAAATAACAGCAACAGCGCCGAAGCTGGTACCGTACACATGGTGATCAAATATTCGGTGAGGTTTATAATAATAATAAATAATAAATTGCATTTATATAGCGCATTTCCACAATGAAGTGCTCAATGCACTGTACAATAATACAAAGAACATATGAAGCGCACAGCTCCAATAGTAATCCTCTTTCTCTCTCTCTCTCTCTCTCTCTCTCTCTCTCTCTCTCTCCAGTACATCCTTGAGTAAAGACATTGACAATCCCACAGTTTACCCAGACACCCTCGCACACATTAATGAATTCACACAGTCATAAATTCTTACAGAACAGAACAGCATAAATAAACGATACTGAGAGAACATAATAGATACTGAGAGAACATAATAATATTTGTATTGGGAATGTCGGAAATTACAGATTGAAGCTGGACTGAAACAAATGGGTTTTAAGTGAAGATTTAAATTTTGATAAAGTGGTGGACGCCCGTAGTGGTTTACAGTTGTTTGTTTGCTTGTTTGTTTATTTGTTTGTTTGTTTGTTTGAAGAGAAGCTTATCGAAACAATAATGATTGTTTAGTATAATATAATGTGGAAAATGCAAAATGCATGTACTAGTTTTAGGTTTAGTTAGAGTTTTGTAATGGTACTTGGAACTAAGAAAGGTCATGTGCTGAAGATCAGATGTGTTATTACTTTGGAGAGTAGTAACATACAAATAGAGAAGGAAATGTATAAGGACTATAGATGTTTGATAGGAAAGAAAGAGCAAACCACTCCAAGGACAGCAGGTTATGATGGGAAGAAAAGAAGTAGCAAACCACACCAGAGCACACGCCACCCATCCCGGGTAGGGGATCATGCAGGGAGAGGGAAATACAGCCTCGGGGGAAAAGAGAGAGAGGATGACCTTCGTGTGATGTGTTGTATTATATTTCTCAGTATCTCTGAAGACTATCTGCAGGTTACGAATAATATCCCATTACAGCTGTCACGGATCAACAGGTCGCTACCGGACACAGTTTTCTCGAGTTTTCTTTCTTCTTTTTCCTTTCTTTTTTGCTACCTTTCTTTCTTCCTTTCCTTTCTTCTTTTATTCATTTTTAAATATTTTGTTTTATTGCATTTTCTTTTTAATTTTTTGTTGTGAGGTTGTTGTTTTTTGTGTTGCTTTTTATTGGGAGGGGGGGGGGAGAAAATTTCCTATTCAGCAGGTTCTTTGGCACAATCAACAGTTCAAAAACTGACGAGCGCATGATTCCACTGCGTCGCGACGCAGGCCTACATAATGTAATAACATCACAGTCAGATCAGATGCTGAGATAATACAGCGGTCAGACGTGTCGCCGTCGAACGCACAAGACATGAGTTTGATTCCCGTACAGGAAAATCATTAATTTATCGAATAAATGTGTCTCCGTCTTTCTGCTGGGACCCTGTATCCCTCTTACTGTTTTAGTTTAGAGTTAGTAAGAGTTTCACGGCACCTAAATTGCAACACAATAAGGTCATAATATGTGTGCTGAAGAGAAATATGTGTTACAAGAGAATAAAAACACAAAATAGAAGGAGGAGAGATCAGGGCGATAGATGTTTGATAGTAAAGAAGGAGCAAACCACACCAGAGCACCCGCCAACCACCCATGTATCACTATTACTTCCGACACGAATGATCGAAACAGGCAGCCCGCCCCCTAATGGATCTAAACTTAACACAGTGTTGATAGTGGGGTAAAACTCTGACATAACTTTTAGGGGGGGGGGGGGGGGGGGGGCGCACCCCCAAAGCCCCGATTCGGCACAAAATTATGGAATTTGAGTTGTAGGCATTTTTTGCTTCCTCAGCCTTTCCTACAATACTGTTTCATCGCATAAGAACCCCATGAAACCGTACTTTTCCCCACAGCGGGCATGTTTATCACCACCATTTCCTCATAAAGTCACTATTTTTTTCCCTTTACCGGCCGTTTTCTCAAAACGCGACTTTTCTCTATACTTTTTTGAATAACTCCACCATTTTTCATCCAATCTTCATGAAATTTTCACAGAATGAAGAAAAAATATAATGCAAAAAATTTGTCCGTTGAATTTTTGATATTTGGAAAAGATTTTTGTTGATGGTGTCTTGAGTGGGAATTTTCACGGATTTTTTGCAAACTTGATTGGTAGGCTACCTCAGAAAAAAATTCATAAATTTTTTTTTTCGTTTAGGAAAAGAACAACAGACACATTTTTAGATTTAATGTTTGTAAACAGGCATGCACAAAAGCAATCAATTTCCATGAGCAATAAGTGCGGTATTCATTACGTAAGACATGTCAACAAAATCCAATATGGCCGCCGTATCCATGGAAACGAATTTTTTTTCTCAAATTTGATTGCGGTTTTTAATGCTTGTTATATGTGTGAAATTTGGTAAAATTCGGTCTAGTAATAAACGAGATAGTCTTCAGCTGGTGTAGCCCCCCCCCCCCCCCCCTTTAATGTGGTGTGGTAGGCCTATCTAGACAAAATGAGACTTTTATTATTTAATGTCATGTTATTGGGTACTATTATTTATCCTGAAGGTAACCTTATTGCTTCAATGTTGCTAAAGCATTTTATTTTTATTTTTATTTATAATTATATTTTATTCTATCTTATAATTATTTTTTTTATAGTTTTGTTTAAAATAACTCACTTAAATTAAAAAGTTCATAATTATAAGAAACGCTTACTAACGTTGACAATAATCTGATAGATCCACAATTGAGAGGAGGTGGGAAGATGATAAATATCACGTTGTGTAGTCAAAGCACAAGGTCTGGAATTCAAGCTGCATTGACTTTGTTAAATGGCATAAAGAAAGAGTTGACTTTTTTTGTCAGTATATAATATTTATTTTAAAAGTTTAATCACACAGTGGGTCCCAGCAATTACAGAACCTCCGAGTAAAGCACACAAAGCCTGCGGTAGAGTATGGTAGATCTACTATCTACACGCTGTGCAATTGATTTCATTTTGTGTGTGTGTGTGTGTGTGTGTGTGTGTGTGTGTGTGTGTGTGTGTGTGTAGTCAGAATACACCTTCTGCAACACACAGCACACACATGCGTGTCATGACACGGGGTCCTCGAGTTCAGATAACGGTCGGCCTACCCAGCCGTTTATTATTTTTTAAAATTATTTGTTAGAATTAAGACGCTGTCTTTCAATGCTCATATGATTGTAGTCTCTCGCTATTGCTGTGAAGTGTGGTCTTAAGAAAGAGCAATTTAGAAGTTAGAACGCACTGGCTTTGAGAAATGACAAGAGCTGGTTGATTTCTCTTTTCTTCATAGAACGCTATACAGTAGTGGGTGTTTCCTGCTACATGTATAACAAAACCGCCCGGACAGGATGTGATATCGCTGCTGAAGCCTTATAAATTATTCATGTCTCAAGAGGGGACCATATTATGTGTTACAGCGCGGTGGAATCAGGCGCTCGTCAGTTTTTTGCACATCTGGAGTTATTGGTAGTGTCATAAGGCCTGCCCATCTGCCTTGCTTGTGGGGAAAAAATATAATTTATCTCGGATACAAGTACAAGTCAAGTTATTTGCGATTGAAAAAGGTGGGGGGGGGGGAGCACCTGGTTTCAGAGGTAAAATTAGCGAGAAAATGGCAGCCTAATTTGAGATATTTCCTTAGTTTTAGAGTTTGTGGAAACTGAAAATTTACATCTTGTATGCCTTTAATCAATATTTTTCAGTAAAATCCGAACCGATGAGAAAAAAACCCAATAAAAAATAAAAAAATAAAAATTCGATAAACATTCCCAAACCTGCAGAAAAATGCCCGTTTCTTAACTTTATTATCTTGACGAGCGCCTGATTTCACCACGGTACACTGCCTCATATAATGTTTACATACATTCAAGGAGTTTCTAAACTCCTTTCATACATTGTAACTGTTGATTAACGAATCAGGTCGTTTTTATTTCATAGGGCACCCACTGCCAATTTATCGTTACTTTTTCCTTCTATTTCCAGTGATATTAAATGTCGCCCTATCTTTGTCTACTTTTAAAAAAAATTGTTTGGTTTTGGTTTTGTTTTATTTGTGTCTCTTTGTAGCATGTTAGTCTCATGGGAGTTGACTAGACGTCATTTGAGATGCACAGGTAGCCTAATAAAAATAATTACGTCAGAATAATGTGAGGCAGCGTAGCGAAATCAGGCGCTCGTCAAAATAATGAAATCACATAAATCAGCATTTTTCTGGCTGTTGGGAAATAATGTATATTTTTAAAATTGTCAACACCTTTTAATGACTATGTGAAAGCACATTTCTGTGTGGCTTTTACTGTAAAACATTAATCAAAGGCACCATAATTTTTTTAAAATTAAAATTTGCAGTTTGAAAGTAATCTCAAGCTTTATACAGTAGTCCCTTTACTTTGGTGATTATACATAATTTACCCATTAATTTTACTTCTGATACCAGGCGACCTCCACTTCCATCAGCTGCAAACATCTCCACGCTTCTATTCATGGTATATGGGATTTCTTTCATCAAAAGAAAGATAGCTAAATAAGCTTTAAGATGGTACCAATAAGACTAGTAGGCTACTAGTTCAAATGTAAAAAAAATAATTGACGAGCGCCTGACTTCACCACGTCGTAATTGCATACTATGCTCTACAGTAGGTTCTGAGCGCTTAACAAGTATCCGTAGCCTAATTATTTATTGACAATATGTAGTTACCACACGGGGAGACAATGACGATGTGGTGCCAGTCTATAAGCATGCCAACTGATAGGAACATCTGCATCAACAACTCGACCCCCCCCTCTCTCTATCTGTCTCTCTCTCTCTCTCTCTATCTATCTATCTATCTATCTATCTATCTATCCACTCACTCAAAGAAAGCTATCCTCCCTCCGTCATCATTGACCCTCCACACAGATGCCACGCCCCCGGACACGAGAAAACCCTGACACAGAACAGAGATAAACGCTGTAATTGTTGTGAGTGTTTTAAGCCCCAACAACAACTGTACCAATAACAGCTGCAGTAGCAATAACAACAACAACAACAATAATGATAACAACAAAAATAACAATAACTGCAACAATAACAATTACAACAACATTTTACCAATAACTGCAGCAACAGCAGTAGTAATAAAGGCCACAGCACCATCATCATATCAGAATAACAACAAAACCACCAACTTCACCAAGAACCTCAACAACAACAACAACAACAACAACAACAACAACAACAACAACAACAACAACAACATTAAAAACAACTAAAGGTGCTATCACACAACCATGGCCAACAAGATCACCACCATCACAACAGCAACAACAATTACACCACCACCATCACTACCACCACCAACAACAACAACAGCAGGCTCCGACGGTGGTATCTCTTCGGGGAGGATTCAGGGAGGTTGACTGCCTCACCCGCTACCCAAGGGGGGCGGTGGCCCTGGCGAAGAGCACGCTCTTCGGGGCTCCAAACAT